ATCTCTCTGGCCTGTGGACATGAAGTCATAATTTATTTTTCATGATCATTGTATGCATCACAGCCATTTCATTTTTACCTTGTATTTATGCACCATATTTATCCACATTTAAACTCCTTCTTTTTTAAGCACACAGATGTTTTATGCCTGTTTGTTTCTACAGTTGGGTTAAAAATACCATAGGCATATAATATATTTAACTCTTTCAGATACTTTTAGAGATTTGTTATCTTAACTACACAATTTGGAAACTCACAGGAAAGCAGCTTCAATAATTTAGAAACTGACGGTTAAATCTACTTAAATCTGAATGACAGCTTTCAGGGGTAGTCCTCACCGAAGTGCTGAGCTTGACTTCATCTAACTCGGTCTGCAGCTCATTTACTCGACACTGACAGCGCTGGAGCTCATCCTGCAGCTGACTGATCTTCTGCCGCTTCCCCTTTAAACTACCCAGGCATCGCTGCATCTCCACTCGCAGCAGCCTTACAGCTTCATCCTTAGGCAGCTTGGTGTCTGACAGGTGAGCCAGGGCAGTGCTAAATAAAGTAAAAGGAAAAACAATTCCAATGGTTACAAATCGAGCTAGTTGACAAAGTTTGACAGTATGTGGTCGCACTCATGGCACAAAAAAGGATGCAGAGACATGTTAATGACCGCAATGACACCACACTATAATTATAGTGTACCTGTGAAGTGTGCCATTTTTCCTTTTTGTTTTCTTCAATCCTAGATCCACACAAGATTCAGACAGCTGGTTCTCCCAGTCACTGCTCAGGTCTAATGTAATAACACCATGTTTCACAGCAGATTCATACAGCGTTATCTGCTCCTTCAGATCAGCCATATCCTCCTTTGGGATAAAAATAAAAAAAACAAACTTTAGCCTCCCAAGTTTAGGGAGCCTTTTCTTCAGCAATAACATTTTGAGAGAAGTTCTTTTCTTGGGTAAAAGAATCAGAGAGCAAACCTGCAAAACTTTGTTCATGTTTTCACTCAATGCCTTGGCTGACTGAGCCTGTTGTAGTTTGATTTGCATTTGACTCATCTCCTGCACTGAATCTGTAGAGGATTAGCACAACAGATGAAAGTCATTTAGATGTGAGCAAAGTCAGGATATTTGCATGCAGGTGCACAAAGGTTGATCTAAATCATTCTGTGATTTCCACATAAAAGACAAAAATATCGTCTCAGTACAGATGTAGACGACTTTGCTCACTTGTCTGCAGCAGCTTGGCACATTGTTGTTGACTCTCCTCCAGACGCTGAGTGAGAGCATTGACAACTCTGGCTCTCTCTAGTTGCTCTTCTTCTCTCTGTCGCTCCAACTTCTTCACATGCTCTCGTAAGCTCTGACCAACATCAATCTAGAAACAGCAACAGCAGCAGAAACAATACAGGACATAAGGCTGTCTGCACGTGACTTTGACCATTTTAATGTCACTATATTTGTCACATTTAGAAAATTAGAGTGTTATGGATAGCTTGCTGATTCATTAATTGCATTCAGTTGCTGAAGCCTGTGACAATAAAACTACAGACCTGTTCATTCAAAGCCTGAGAGGTAGAATCCAGCTTCTGTTGCAGGGCCAACAGTGCGGCCTCATGCTGCTCCTTTATGATGGCAAGGTCTCTGTCATGCTGCTCTCGTGCTCTGGACAGTGTGTCAGAGCGACAAAGATCCAACATCTGCTGCTTCATGCTGTCCACTGCAGCATCCGCCACTCTCTGTTTCTTCATGTTCTGCAAACACACAAAAACTACTGAATACCCTAACATAAACAAACAATCCTATCAGAAGGTGCCAATGAAGATATACAGCAAGCACGAAGCAACAGAAACAGCATTGCTTTGCACACAATTGCACACATGATTTCCTGTCAGATTTGTCATTTTGTAAAGCTGCCACTGCTTTTGAATGCATTCATAATGTGACTGATCATTCCCTTCGCAAAAAAGCCCTTTTCTTTTACAAGTTTGTTTGTTAATTATAGATTACATTGTGTATAGCAGACTGTCTTGTATTTAGCCTTAAATAATAAAAAGAAGGAAAACACCAGCACAGAACTCACCTCTTGGTCTCTCTCATTGAGAATCTGTACTTGCTGCTCCATTGTCCTCAGCTTGTTTTGCATTTGAACCTCTCTCTCCTTTGCCTCTTCAATCAATCGACTTGATTCCTTTAGACTTACAGCGAGGCCATCCTTTTCATCTGTTAATAGTTTAAAAAATAAAATAAAAAATCATTATACTTCTACAAGCAGCACATGCAGAAAGAAAAGCAGGGCACGCAAAGACAGTGCAGGACACGCTGTTTCTATAAATAGCGCAAGCACTCTTGACAGCCACAAGAGGGCAGATATGTAACTGACTGAACACAATCCTATTTTATTTTTTAATTTATTGGCTTTAAATGGTGTATTTAAAAACTAAAAAAAAAACACTGAAAGCATACATATGAAAAAGCAATATATCTATAAACCATAAGTGCAAAACAAAGGTCAGGCATTGTGAAGCACTAACAGTCTCTGAGAATGTGAAGGAATTCTTAGAGAGATACACGGCTGACACAGAGAGTTACACTACAGATAAAGAGAAATTACTGATACAGTCCTAAGCGAGGTAAAAGAGAAACATAAAGCAATCCTCCCTTGACAAGACAAAGACAAAGTGTTCAGAACAGAGAGAAGTTGCCCCTCCACAAGTAGTGTAACAATATAAATACTGACTGTCCTTTTACTCAGGGACCTCCTCTCCCATAACCCTGTGTTGTGTGACATTCTGTGAACTACTGAACAAAGAGATGCTCACTCCAAGATCCTCGTTTTTAGTGTTGATTCTTCTTCACCCACAGGTGCTAATTTAAAATTCAAAGAGTTCATTTGAAATGAAATGAAAAATACTTTATTTATCCCAGAAGGGAAATTCAATCTTGTAAAAGCTCACTTTCTCTCTCTTTTTTTTTTAATCAATATAACATATATTCCACACAACAACAACAATAATCATTCAGTCAGTCAACCGTCAGTCAGTCAGATTTGTTTTTTAAGGTGATGGCTGTTGGTACGAATGACTTTCTGTATCTCTCCGTTCGACAGCGAAGCTGACGCAGCCTCCAACTAAACACACTCTGTTGATTCTTCACTGTGTTGTGGAGAGGGTGGGAAGAATCCTCCAATTTAATTTCCACAATTTCAATTTCTTTTTTCAATATATGCAAAAAGTGTAACAAAATTAAATTCCAGTCCTTAAACTATGACATAAGCAGTACTATATTAATACTATTCATATTACTTTACATGGCTTTATGCCGGCGGAGGACAGTGAGAGACCCTTCATTTTAAAAGGTAAAAAAAATGTGTGAAACATACCTTTGACAATTGCAAACTGATGCTCAAGATATCTCATATTACGCCGGGAATCCTCCAGTTTTCGCTCCAAGTCTTCAATTTGCCTCTGTTGAGCTTTGTTCAAAATCTGCAGCTGGGCGAGTTGCTCTCTGTCAGCATTTTCTGAAACCCAGATTTTCTTGTTAATTCAACACACCATCATCATCACTTTCCCTTTATTTAAAACGTGTGTGGACATTTTTATTTTCAGCAGTGTCAATGGAATAGGTGTAGTTTCTACAGTAGCACTTTAGGCCTCCTATTATGCAGTAGTAAACCTCTGATTGCTACTTGTCTTTACATGCTGGATGGACAGTAGAATCCCCAAAGGGTTGTAATGGGAAAAATACTGCATGAAGATACTGCATGAAGAATGTCAAAGCAAGTTTCATTAAGTTTCATTAAAGCTCAGTGGAAAGAGGAAATGTGTTTTCATAACATCTAGGTAAAAGATTAGTGACTGTACAGAAGGAAGAAGAAGCTGTTCATGTCAAGAAGTTTATAGGAAACACAGCCTTGTTGCATCCAATGTGTTTAGAGTTTTGATATCTTATCCAATGTGTTTAGTTCTCTAATGTCTGTGGATGAGTGCACCCTGTACCCCCAACTGTTGATTATCAAGCACGAGATCGTTATACTATCATTGCAGCAAAGGCCACACCTGTACATGTATAAGAATACCACACGTATGTGTACTCTCCTGCAGACTGCTTGCACTCTGTATGAGTGGTACCTTCAAAGCTTTGAATAAAACAAGACAAAGACAACTCAGACTTCTGGACCTTATTAAGATCATAGCAAAAATTTCGACAACAGGGTCAGCCAATAAAGCTTCTGACCCACGGCAATTAAAACTATAATGCAGCAAGTTATGTATTAGATATCTTTATGACACAGAAATATATTATAAATAGATCTAATTTTGGTCCTTGTCCTGTATGAGGAAGAACTTGGAGGGCAAGACAGGGTCTTTTGGTGAATCCAGGTGACATGCAGTGCTCTTGTTGGCAATCACGAAGAGCGCAACATCACAGACAATGTACAGTTTCTCATTGGCCACATTTTTTAATAATCTGAAAAAAAAACACTAAGCACTGGTATGGATAACAATATCTGTAATGTACAAGGCTGGTACATGGAACTAAACACCACGCAATTTTTTAACTCATTCCATCTTCCCAGCCTTTTCCAGTCAAAACACCCTATTTTCTAAATACCATTGCAAGTGTAAGAGTTGAGACCTAATTGCATTGCTCAGCCACACTTTGACAGCAGCTGTTGTAAACAAAAAAAAATTCTAAATCACTTGCACGGATTTGCTCTGCTAATTCAGAGCATTCTAAATTAAAATAGATGGTAACGGTATCACTTTTTGGTCATCATAGGACTGTGACTGACATGTCACTGCACTCTTGTACTATTAGTCCATCAAATAAATCAAGACTGTAGGACTTACGTTGTGTCGAATCAAGGAATTCTCTTTGTAGATGGTCAAACTGACTTTCTTGCTGAGTGGCCTGTGAGTTAAACATCTGTGGCTGATGAGCAGGATGGTGAGGATTGTAGCTGGTCTTGTACTGATTTATCACTCTGTCATCTGCTCCTGGCTTTAAATTCTGAAGATCAAAACACAGAAACACAGTACGGTTGAAAGCAAAATGTTATGTTCAATAACACAAGTTTGAACTAAATTAGAGCTAAACAATTCAACTGCTGTCTCTCAGACACACAATAAAACTGCACAAATTATAGACTGCCAAATAACAAAATGTTCATTTTAAAAAAATTAAGAAGAACGTAAGTATCATGAACTGTAAACACAAGTGGGCCAAGCGTGTTTAAAATTCAAATATATATATGATAAAATGTGGAGAATTTTATTTTCAAGGGTTAGAAGCTCTCTTATATCTTTTTTATTATTGTTTATTCAAATTGCTGTGGGGCATAAGATTGTAAAGCAGTTGTACTACACATTCTGTTTCGGACCAGGACAGCAATCACTGCAGCAGACTATCAAATCATTTGAGATTTCTATCATTGAAATAAGCCCTTGGGACCCTGGAGTTAGTATGTGGTTTGTGACAATGAAATAATTCACTCACTTGAAAATGGCTTTGCTTGTCCCTATATCCTCCTTCTCCATTGTATTCCACATGGTTGGGTTTGCTTTGAGAGTATGAGTTGGACTCAAACTCAGTAGAAAAATCACAGGTCTCTGTAGATTTCTCTGTGCCCATGCTCGTGCATGTATAATCTCCCTGTATGAACTGATGATCCTGGTTCCAGGTGTGAGGCAGAGGTTCGCTCGGAGGGTGGCTTTGATGTCCATTCATATGAACACCTCCATCCCCATAGGCGTACTCATCGTGAGAGCCTTGATCATAGTCAACTTCATAGTTCTTCAGAGAGACATTAAAAATAACAGATTGTTTTTCTTTTAGAACCTCAGAGAGAGAAAAAAAAATCTATTATCAACACAAACCAACACTCTACCTGTGCATGAGAGGTGGGCCTTGGATGATCAGCCCATTGCTGAGTCCACTTGGACTGTGGGCTGAGTAGAGATGGCAAAATGCATGATTATATTACTGTGCTGTCATGGTACATCTGTTTGTCTCAAAACAGTTCTCCAAATCTGAGATTACTAATGTGTCAACAACGTGTGTTACCTGTTGCCAGTGTTTTTATTGCTGCAGGTAGAGCACTCTAACTCTGGGGAGGAGGAGTCGATGCTGTCCTCCAGCATGTCATCAGGCAGGTCTGTGAGCAGTTTGTGCAGCTGTAGAAAAATAGCACATGGAAATGAGTCATCAACGTTGCTCCGCAACCGAGTTATAAAGTAACACAGACAGGAAAACAGAGAGGCAATCAATGACAGCCTGTTAGGGGGCATATTTGTAGAGTTTTGATTTTTTTTTTTTTTTTTTAAATAAAAAATTCTCATTTTAAAATATTTGTTACATTAAAATTCATTGCACAATATTTTGAAAATATTTGAAAACCAAACTAATTTTTCTGAGTGGAAGATGGCTCACTGTAGCTGATAAGAACATTTTGTCTGTAAATTTAAGTATAATTGACTAATTATATAAGGCATTTATGAAGCAACGATCCCCAACATTCTCTGGATAAGACTTCTCAGATGTATGGATCTTTTTCTTTTACATCTCATTATTAATTAAGATCATCACTCCAGTTAAAATAAAGTTCTATATCAAACTGGCAAACAGCAAGGTCTTGTTAAAACATGTTCTGAATGTCACAAAAACAAAAAATTCCCCTCTGTGTCAGTAACAGACTGACCAGGCTTGCTTTACAACCAGCCATGTGTGATAGAACAAGCAAAGCCAGCTGGACTTACTTCCCACAATGACCGCTGAATATTCCTCAGATCGTCCACTGTGTCCACAACCAAAGGACCCATATTATCCCACTTGCACATTAACAAAGACTGAATACGCACTTCTGCTTCAGCTGTGAAGCCACAAGACCTCCTAGCCTACTCTGTCTGCAGAGAAGACCTTCTGAGTAAAACATCCAAAATGCGCCTGGCATGTTGTCGGCTCCCTGTGGTATTGCTGTATTTTGCTCCCAAAGAACTCCATTGTTCAAACAAAACATATAGCAAGGTTAACTGGAGCAGAAACATTCCAATTACTGGTGGCAAACATTTCCATGTGACCAGCTTGTGTATAATAAGTAGGCTACACCAAAGGAGAAAAAAATAAATACATTTAAGGAATATTATTTAAAGTCCCATTCTTCTAGGTTTTGAAGCCTTTGGTAAAATGTTCAGCATCTTCATTCTCACTCTGCTCAAGTGAGGTCAAGCACAGACGCAAAGTAACCTACATGGAGAGAATGTAGGAAAGCCACAGTGCAGAACGAGTTTCAGTGTGACACACCTGGAAGGAGGCCCTTTCCTTGAACCAATAATAGCTCAGGTTAATGGCAGAACAGACTGTAGGTGTGAGTAATAACACAACGTGCATGTGTAGCTGTGAAGCTGGCAGTGATTGCGAAATTTTAAACTATGCACACGTCACAGCTTCCCCAAACAACACTGTGATCTCCAAAAAACAAACAAGAACAAGTCAATTTAAAGTCCTCAAAAGGGAGCAGTACAATTTGATTTTAAGTCTATTCTGGCTCTGTGCTACATGTTTGAATTTTGAACCCTCTTTTTCTACACCGAGACACCTCAAATCAGAGAATCAGCTGCAGTTTAAAGTCCCATAGTCCAGGATTAAAAACACAGGGGGACCATACTTTCACTGCTATAGTCTCAATGCTTTTGAACAAACTCCCATTTACAGTTAGTACAACTCAGTCAGTGCTTCAGTTCAAAAAGCTTTTAAAAACCAACCTGTACAAACAGGCATCTGCATAACATTTTATTACGCCTTTAGCATTATTTTATGTGTGTGTGTGTGTGTGTGTGTGTGACTGTGTGCATATGCAAACATGCCATGCATAATCACAGTCATGGAAACATAAATTGAAACTATTAATGCCTTTAGAGGTGCACAAGACACATATTGTCTCTGTGGTTTGAGCATGCTCGAAACACGCGCTTTGCATCTGATGTGTTGGGTAGAGGATGGTCAACAACATGAACAGTCAAGAAACAAACCTCCTTTAACAACATAACAACGGCACACAACTGGCAAAACAACTGAACACTAACGTAACAGCAACACAGATGCTGGGCCAACAGTTTAAAAATGTATCTATGTGTGTGTTGCACCTCTTGCTCTCTTGCATAGTCCTCCTGATCGTATTCTTCTTCATCATGCTGGGTTTGAAGAGCAGCACTGTCAAAATCAATGGACATGATGCACAGCCTGCTGGGAAAATAGGTACAACAAATTCAACGGGGGATAGTCACGAAAGACAACAGGAATGTTATTTGTTACGTTTAATGGTTGAAGTTAACTCACAGTAACGTCACAGTAACTAACTATACAAGTTTACTAAATAATTCGGTCACGGGCGCATTGATTTCAACCAGTCGAACATACTTTTAGCTTACCTGTTGGTCAAAAATATGCCAGAAGTTTGCTGAGCTGCTTATTCCTTTATCTGAGTAACGGTGGCCTGTGTTAGCTTCCACTGCTAGCAACGCTGCTGTTTACATTAGAGAGCAGGGACTAGCTAACTAGTGTCAACCCCGGCCATGTTCAAAAAAGAGGTGCTGGTCATGCTTTGAAGACCTGCGCCAAATACATCTGAACAGAGAATTCGGCAGCTAATAAAAACCTTAGCGCCAGTTTAGGTGCATTTTACCTTCCAGTAAACTTCGTAAAGCCCAACGCTAACTGCTGCTAACCGGCTGCACGTCCTCTTTAAGCAGACTCGCCCACTTTGAAAAGTCGCGCGCAGTAGCAGCGCGAAACCATAGCGGCTCTTTGTGGCAGAAAACTTTCACAAACTGACAGTAACCACAGACAAATGTCAACACAGCTAATGACACGCTATAAACACACACCTTTCAGCTAAAAAAAACAGTCTCCGTATCAAACTATGTATGCTCGATGCTATTAGGTAAACGTTGTTTTTACTAAAACCCCGGAACTAAGAAGCTAGCTAACCACGTCTCTATAGCAACAGCGTTCAGAGAATTGTGGGTAGTGTAGTCTTCGTGATTCCTTGGACATAGAGCTGTCAAGATAAAAACAAATAAAATTAAATTAAAATAAAATTTATTACGATGTGAGCAGTGGTGGAAGAAGTGTTCAGGTCATTTACCTAATTAAAATTAACAGCATAGCAATGCAAAAATACTTCATTATGATTAAATAGAATTAAACTTAAGTAAAAATAAGTCATCATTAGCAGCAAAATGTAAATAAATTTTATGGTTGTGGTTCGGTCCCACTGATTGATACCGTATGCTAAGTAATTATAGTAGTAATTATAGTAATATACTAAGTAAAATAACTAAGTAATAATAGTAAAGTATCAGTTTGTCACCAACATGTTACTGTTGTAACTGTTACAGATGGAATTAGTTAAAACTACTTTATGTACAGTTTTATGCACAGGACATCAAGAAACATGTAAGACGTTTTGATCAAGAGATTTACAAATATGCATTTTAAATTTAAAAGTCTGACGACTGCAAATTAAAAAAAGAAAAAATATATATATGTGTGTGTAATTTTATGCAAAACAAATATTACTGAAGTAAACTGACCATAAAAGTATATAGAAAAGCAGCATGTATGTATGTATGTAGTCAGAGAGACCTCTATTAGATTGTTTTTGTTTTTCTTCTTAAACTCAGGGACCTAGATGCAGCAAATGACCACATTTGTCTTAAAGACAACATATTTAAAAATAATAGGAATAATAGGTTTTTGAAAATATATAATGTTATGACTCCATCTTGTGGTGGCAATGTCTCACAGTAAAGCAGTAAGGGGTAAGACAGTACAGTAAACTATTTCATTTATCTTTCCTAACATAATCGTTCACAACCAAACAGCAATCATATAAAAATGCATGCATCAACTGTGACTCTTACGCTTTTGGACATTTGTTTCTCACTCAGCACAAACCTTTCTTACTTGTGATACTTACAATACTTATTACTGTGAGCTGTATGCTGAGGTTCTTTCCTCTCTCTGTCACGACAGACACTGGATACATATATTTATAAAGTAAAAAAATGAATAAATAGTTTTGTCTATAATCCAAACTATTTAGTTAGGTTAAGAAACCAGAAATGTTTAAATTTAACAAGCTGCAATCAGCAATTTTGACTTTTTTTTTTTATTTAAAAATGATCATAACTGAATAATCGGTAATCACAAGAGTTGCCATCAAATGTATTAGTTAACAACTGATCGATTAATCATTGCAGATGTATGCAGATCTATACATTCATTATACAAATTGTAAGATGAAAAAGAAACAAATAATGATGTTACTAATTTACAAATACAGTGTAGATGACTTGTTATATTTACCTTTTCAGTTGCACATGCATAGAATAGATGAGAGTCTCTTTGCTTTAAAAGATTTTCCAGCCCTTCCTGTTGTTTTACCACCTCATATTACTTTCTTTTAATGTGGGATGTTGTGTTTTTAGGGTAATTTAGGTTTTAAATTTGATTTAATTTATTGTAACTCCCAACTGCTGTTGTTTTAGTTGATAATGTGTTTTTAAACTTGAAATGCTCTAATGAATGCTTTTTAAAACTTTAAATGTTTCTTCAACTTTTTTTTTTCACTTATTTGTCTATATTGTAAATGAGGCCTCCATACCTCAGAGTTCTCTAAATTTAAATAGTTGAATGAATGAATGAATGAATGAATGAGTGAGTGAATGAATGAATGAATGAATGAATGAATGAATGAATGAATGAATGAATGAATGAATGAGTGAAAGAAAATAACGAACCCTTTTTTTTTTAATCCTTATTGTTCTTTAAATTATTGCTGAAAGTGCGGCTATAAAGTGATGAGATCATGGCTTTGGATTCAGTATATTTAGACTTATGGATATAAAATTAACTTCCAGTATCCAGAGCTCAGCTGTCTACGGTGGCCGGAGTAGGACACGTGTTGGCTCCGCCCCCTGTCCTGCAGTCACTTCCTTGTTTCTCTGCTGCAGCCGGAGCTGTTCCAGAGTCAGCTCCTCCGTGACTGAAAGGCTCCACATCGAGCAGAGCTGCTCTTCGTTGACTGACCGCAGTTCAGCTGTCTGGTATCCGGATCCTCTTGTGACTGTCAGCTGATCTTTGCTGAGTATGTGGAAGTTTTGAGCTCCGCTGTCTGACAACCACAACAACATTCAGAATTATTAAAAACAGGCAGAAATGGACTCAAACCCAGCAAGGTTAAAGATTGCGATCACTGCTGATGAAAGGTGAGAAGCAACACCGTGCTGGTTGGCAGAGACAATATATAACCTGTCCGGTAGTTCATTGATTTATTTTGTCATTAACAGGCTGAAAAACTTGAAAAATACCTTCGAAACCAAGTATGGAGAATCTCCTCTGTTCTATGCATGTGCACCTGGGAGGGTGAATCTAATAGGTAATGTCGTTTTATGTGTTTTCATTGGGTGTAATCGATGTCTGCATACGAGTAGTATTTGTACAGTCGTCCTCAAATGTATTCATACCCGTCCATTAAAGAAAAGGCAAAATTCACAATAGTCACTCAATTAACTAGAAACTGGAAAAAGTAGTAATAAATGAAAATTTGCAAAATTATAATTTAGTACAATAAGACATTGCTTTTAAATTGTGGTCGAAATGAATAGTTTAAAAAAAAAAAAAAAAATCTGTCCCGGACAAATTAGACTCTGCACGTTGCTGGTGAGCAGTGGCCAGAATCTAAATACCTGTCAACAGGTGCAGAAGTGTGATTGAGATTTACAGAAAACACTTGATTGCAGTGATTGGCTCAAAGTGTTGTTCAACAAAATACTAGTTTACGGTTCCCATCATGTTTGTTTGCTTGATTTCTTTTGCTTGTTTGTTTGTTTTTGTTTTTTGGTTTGTTTGTTTTAAATATATATATCTCTCTGCTGAACCACAATTCAAAAGCAGTGTCATGATTTTGGTTAGATTTTGATTTATTATTACTTTTGTCAATTTCAACTTATTTCAGTGACAGCCTTTTTTTTTGTCTTTCCTTCTTTAATGGGAGGGTATGAATACATTTGAGGACAACTGTAAATCTGTAGCATCATTATTTGTTTCTTATTTTCTATTACATTTTGTGTGACTGTTGTATAAACTTGCAGCGATTAATCAGTTAGTTATCAGCTGTTAAATTTAACACCAACTTTTTGATTAAAAAAAATTTTTTTTGAATAAAATCAGATTCTTGTTAGAACTGTTGGAAACTGCTTGTGCTAGTGGTTGATGTTTTGATACTATAAAACATTTAGAGAACTCCTATTTTATATTTATTTTTAAACACTCAGGACATTTGGTTTTTGCAGCTTTCATACAATATCAGTTGAATTATTTTAGTCAAATTAGCTATAAAACTCCCTCTTACATTTCTTTTTTTTGTCATATTTCTGATCAGGTGAGCATATTGATTACTGTGGCTACGCTGTGCTTCCAATGGCCATTGAACAGAGCATCCTGGCAGCCGTGTCAGTGAACAATTCAAGGACAATCCAGCTGGCCAATACAAATCCTCAGTACAAGTGAGATGAGAACACTCATGATCACTGCTGCAGTTTCAAAAATGAATTATTGGGTTTAAAATGCCTGTAGGCTTTCTTTACATGTTTTCATACCATCTGTGATTTGTCGTTTTGCAGGGATTTCACAGTGTCTTGCTCAGAGGACATCGCCATAGAGAGAGACAATCCACAGTGGTTCTATTATTTCCTCTGTGGAGTCAAAGGGATTCAGGTAAGATGTGTATTAAGTTCTATTTTCTTAACTTGTGCAATGGCTAAAATATATAATCTGAGATGCATAACTGCACACAAAGTGGTAAAAAGCTACACTGATGGGATGTTTTTATTTTCAGGAGACGTTTGGTATCACTCCTTTAGCAGGGATGTCGTGTGTCGTAGATGGAACCATCCCTCCGTGCTCCGGTCTGTCCAGCTCCAGTGCCTTAGTTTGTTGTGCTGGCCTTGTAACAATGGAGGCAAATCAGAAGTCTCTCTCCAAGGTAAAAGCCTTTTTAGCTGAAATATTTAATGTGAAGATTTGTATGTTTATTTTGAAAACATCTTGTGAATTTCTTTAGGTAACACTTGAAAACAGTACCAAGGATTCAGTCAGCAGGAAATAAATTATCGAAGAAAGCGACTCCTAACATGTCAAATTCTTTAGTTTTCTGCTTCCTAAATGCCGTTTGTTTTTCTGTTTAATCATTTTACTCTGTATTCCTGCAGGTAGCTCTTGCTGAGATATGTGCTAAGTGTGAGCGCTACATTGGTACGGAGGGAGGAGGCATGGACCAGTCCATATCATTCCTGGCAGAGAAAGGAACAGTATGTAGCTTTTTCTTTCATTTTATCAATGATGACCGACTGTAGACTCACTTGTTTGACAAAAGTCTTACAAACAAAGCGTTAATACACTAAATACGTGTCTAGAAGCACGAAACAAGCAGTGCATCTTAGATTCTTGCACAATTTGAGCACGTTTTCTTCATTTTTTAAGCCCTTTGAATTGTCTGCCAGGCAAAGCTGATAGAGTTCCAGCCTCTGCGGGCCACTGATGTCAAGCTGCCAGATGGGGCCGCGTTTGTGATTTCCAACTGCTGTGTGGAGATGAACAAAGCTGCTACTTCTCACTACAACATCCGTGTGGTGGAGTGTCGGATCGCCACAAAGGTGCAGTGATCCCAAAGATCTCAAACAACATTGTGCTTCATTAACTAAATGATCTGCATCTGTATTGAGTAGCTGAGTGGTTGCTGCATGAAAAAATATCTGTTGCTAGGCGTTTTGAGCAGAGTGTTTGGAGAATGTATTAATAGGGATAGCATTCAACCAAACAACATTAAACAGCTCACGTGTGTAATAAGGGGTGCATGTGAACTCAGATGCTGGCGAAGGCGAAGGCTCTGGAGTCGAGCAGGTTGTTGAAGCTGGCTCAGGTTCAGGTGGAGCTGAAGGCGTCCCTGGAGGAGATGCTGACTCTGGTGGATGAGGTGTTGCATCCTGAGCCCTACAGCCGGGAGGAGATCTGCAAGATGCTGGACATCACCTCGGAGCAGTTTTCAACGGACCTGCTGAGCGCCAACACTCAGCACAGTGAGTAAACCCAACACAGTAACGTGTTACCAAACTAATTCTGTCTATTAGCAAATGGTGAGGAAGGCTAATCAATGATCGTTGTGATAACTGATTGGATGTTTAAAGTCAGTTTATCGGTATATAGTGAAGTCTATGTTTTTCTTGTATTAAACTGCATTATTTTGAAGTTGCTTATTTATTTAAGTTGCCAACCTAATTCATCCATCTGATTGAGATAAACAGCAAGCAGCTATTTCTACATGTTTTTGAATTCTCAGAAGTTTCTTCTGTGTAAATATCCCCTCAAAATTACCCTGTGAGACATCATTACATTCTACTAACACTGAGATATGTAGTGAACTATGTCATCATGTGTAGTTTTCAGTCATGTCTGGTCCTATGCTGTCATAACCAAGCATAAAATTTGTCTGGACTCGTGTCTCCATACAGATGAATAACAGACAGATTTGACAAACAGGGCTTTTACCTTTTCTCATCTCTTCTAGTGACGCACTTCAAACTTCACCAGCGAGCCAAACATGTGTACAGTGAAGCTGCACGAGTGCTGCAGTTTAAGAGCGTGTGCGACTCTGAACCTGCTGAATCCATCCAGCTCCTCGGAGAGCTGATGAACCAGAGCCACGAAAGCTGCAGAGACCTCTATGAGTGCAGCTGCCCTGAACTGGACCAGCTGGTGGACATCTGTCTGTGAGTAAAGCAAAGTGTCTCTTCAATCACTACAATCACAGATCTACAACTCAGGACAGACAGAGATTTAAAAAAAAAAAAGAAGAAGAAGACAGAGAATGGAAATTTTATTTATTTATTTTTTTCTAAAGATGCCAACTTAAGGTATATTTTAAAGTTGTGTGGCTGAATTCCATTTAGCTGCTTCAGTCTCAGAGTCCTTGTATTGTGAATGAAGACTCACATGTTGTGTCCCACTCCCATCTACATATTAGCTGTGCAGTGTATGTACTATACACTAAACTTTAGAATATAGTGCATTTTTTTCTGTTAGAATATAAGATGTCAGCACACTACACTGAGACATCAGATGTTACTCATACTTTTAAAATGCCAGTGTTTTTCAGAGATGTCCTTCGAGCATATGGACTGTTTTTAGTTTATTAAATCTGATCATTTTTCCTGCAAAAACACACTACAAGATCAAAGCCTGCAGAGATTTAGTGCGTAGCATGGAAAGAGGGTACGGCTCCAGTCACACTAACATGGCTCACTGGGTCACTTCATTAAAAATATACCTGTGACAAGTTCAAATGTTGTTGTGAAGAAACCTGTTTACATCCACAGCTATGCAACATTTCCAAGCCAATATCTGAATACACCCATCTCTAGAACAGACGTAGTGAGCTATATTGAATCTGAAATGCTCATTTAAATGCAAAACTCATCGATCAATGTTGTCTTTATAATGAAACCAAAAGTTATTCTTTGTTCCATTTTTATTTATCCATTCCAGCCATGCTAGTGGTTTTGTGTCAGCCTTCTGCTTTGGTCTAGACTTAAATACCTCAACAACAATTTGATGGATTGCCATGAAATGTTTTTTTCCAACATTTATGGTTCCCAGAGGATCAATTGCCATCTCTTTGGGGATCCCCTGATTTTTCATCTAGTGCCACCATCTGGTCAAACTTTTAATTTGTTCATTACTTAGCTTTATCATCAAATACTAAAACTAAAGGCATGCACATCGACCTCAGCTCTGCTTTGTTGTTAATTACTGCTAATTAGCAAACGCTGGCATGCTAAGATGCTAAGCTAAAATGGTGAACATGGTAAAAATTGTACCTGCTTAACAGTAACAGTATGTTAGCGTTGTTATTGTGGACATATTAGTATGCAGATGCTGGCATTTATCTCAGAGTGCTACTGTTCTGACAGCCTCATAGAACTACTAACATGACTGTACACACTTCAGTTTTGTTTGATTGAAAAGCAAGTTGGATTAAATTAAGGAGAAACTTGAGCCTAACCCCATGCAGACATATCATTCTTTGTATATTTAGTGCTGGCTGTTCAGTATCACATTTTTATTCTCTCCACCACCTCTTCCTTGTTCTCTCCTCCATCACACACTCACATCTATTGAACCATCTATTAATGGTATTAAAGGCTAACGTTTGTAACATTGCGCTGAAACATCAGCTTTTTGTTGTTTCTGCTGCTTGCAGGAAGGCGGGGGCTGTGGGTTCCCGGGTGACAGGGGCAGGTTGGGGAGGCTGTGCCGTCTCCATGGTTCCCAGTGAGAAGGTGGAGTCTTTCTTACAAGCTGTCAGAGCCGCCTACTACCTCCCCGATCCACGCAGAGCAGCCATGGAAAAACAAAGTTTGTTCGCGTCAAAGCCGGGTGGCGGAGCTGCGATATTCCTTGAGGAGTGAAAGACATCATCTGTGTCTGCTTAGAGCACAATCAGTCAATATCAAACACACTGGTGCAGGGAAATAAAGGGACATTTTTCTAAATTTTCTTACACTCGAGACAGAAAGCACTTGCAGATTACTTACGGTTTACGCTGGAATATAAGGGCCAAAAAACTAACTTCAGTGTCTTTTTTTATAAATCACAAATGTTACTGTGTTTGTAATTAATATTTTTCTGTAGCTAACCCACTGTCTTTCCTTTCATCTCACACTGTTTCTTTGTAAGCCAAAAAAGATGACAAATAAAATGACAACCAGGTTGTGTTGTATAAAATCCATTCATCCGTCCTTTATTAACATTTACTAAAATTAGGTCTTAAATACGCTGAATGTTTTCAGGCTTTACATCCTTGGAACAGCAGCCTTTAGACAGCTCTCTTTCAGCTGTTAAAGTGAGTCGGGTTTGCGGTGTGTTAAAGAAAAGTCCTGATTGTACATTCACACTCTGGGCTTCTGCACAGGATCAATTTTCAATTCATTAGAGAGCAGTGGTGGTGGTGGAGGCTCGGTGGTCTAAGGCACATGCTACTCTGCTGTGCTGAATGCAGCTGCAGCATTCTGCATTTACATCTGCTCAGGGACATTCATCACATCGATCCTTGCCCAGGCTTTTTGCTGTCACTTCTGCTCAAATATCTGCTAAATATTTAACAGACAAAAAACCCCAACATATATCATTGTTGTTAATTTAAATACTTTGAAAGTGAATTTCTTCTGTTGTTTTAATTTTTTCTATGTTAGGTGTTTGATAAAAGGTCATTCAGAGGTTAAACAGCAGCTGTACAAAATTTAAAATGAAGATTAAGTCATTATTTTAAAGAGGATATCAGATTCAAGCCATGCATTCTAGTTTCACATGTCTTTGAATACAGCCATGTCAAACAACCATCAAATATAAAATAAAAAAAAGAGTTGTCTTTAACAGGAACCCTACAAGGCACAGCACAGGGGAAATAGATCTCAGAGCAAATCTTAACATTATGAGGTCCATATTTCCAGCTGGGTTAATGGCATACTGTATATACTGGCAAAATGGTAGGTCAGTAAAACGTAACAAAATTTGGAAATTGTTATTTAAATTGTGCTTACCATCACATTCAGCAGCTTCACTTCAGTATTTACAGGAATACTTGTATTTTAGCACTTTGGATGTTGGTTAAAAAGAAAGTTTCTATGCATAGTTTTTACAGATGGATCTTTTTTTACAGAAGCTTTTTGTTCTGATGATCAGGGCTACCGTTACCTTCGCATTTGTATGATAAAAAAGTTTGCTTTGTGACAGCTGAAGGTACCAAAATGTGCTAATCTTTCTTCATTAAATAGAGAAGGCCATGCCAAATAAAGTTATACAAAATAAATGCACCCACTGCGATTAGATCAAATTGGATTATTTGCTGCACAATGATAAATATTTCTTTAACTTTGGCAACTCATGCATAATGTTTTCATAAACTATACCCACTGCTGTCAAAGTGAGAGTTTTCCAGTTTAACAAATGTCCAGCAGACGCCAAAGTTTCCAATCTTTAATCTACCAGCAGGTGGCTTCTTTTTTCTTTTTTTGGAAACAGTTCCTCCAGGTGATCAAGTATTGGTTGCTCTTTAACATTCAGAGCAAACATGATTCACGTTGATTAAAAAAAATGAGGTACGTTTGTGTTGTTGATTTGAGCAGAAATTCACTCAAATGAAGGACACTCATCGCTTGTGCTTGGTCTGTGGGATCCATGCATATGGTATCCTCTTCTGTACATTCAGTATCTTAGTCTGTCGGTCTGTGTGCTGTTGTTTTAGAGTCTGTATCGCCCTCTTGTTGCTCTTCTGGTGCCCCCTTGCTCTCGTAGGAGACACAAGAAACTTCGTTCTTTCTCTTTAACATGTTTTCTATCCAGTTGGAGCTGTGCGGTGTCCTTCCAGGGGAGCGAGCGGAGGACACTGTGCTCATCCTCATGTTTTTGCCTGAGGTGATCAGCTCTCCGTAGCCCTGTTGGTGGGAGAAGGCATAGGCAGAGCGGCGCGAGCTCGTCCTGCGTACTCGCCTCAGATTCTGCTCCTGAGGTCCTTGCTTCCTTCTGGACTGTTGGAGATAACGAACCTGTCGAAAAGCAACACTGATAAGTTCTTTTCTTCATTTAGAATGCTGATCGCTCTGCATATAGTGAAGAAAATTAGTCTGTGTTACTTTACTTGAAAGAAATCTGCATTTTCCTATCATTTCTAACCACTTCATACACGAAAAAGGAAACATAAAATTAGAAAAATATAGATTTTTGATTCTCAACTCTAAGCATTTTAGTGCTGCTGAGTTTCCTTTAGTGCTGGCCAACATCTCTTACGGGGGTTGCCACAAAAAAAAAAAAAATCCTCTAGTCCTCTAACCCTCTAACCCTAGTGATGTAGGAAGAAGTACTTAGATCCCTGCCTTAATTAATACAGAATAGCAAATTACACTCAAGTAAAGTATAAGAGAAAGTGCCCCAATCAAGTACAGAAATACTATCAGCAAAATGTAAATGAAGCATCCAGAGTAAAATATTCCTGCAGAAAGTTGCTCCCATGACAGATATATTACTATTGCAATTATTAGATTGTTATTCCTGATGTACTAGTGTGTAATTTGCATTTTGCTGTTGCAGCTGGTTTATGTTAGGCTGATTTTTAACTTCCTAACATACGATTTGTTATTAGTTGTTCCCAACACAGGGTCGACAAAGGATAACAGGATAAATCTATTGGGTCTTACATAAGATTAATGGAGCAAGAATAAGGATAGAATCCTGGTTCATGGATGTGTCTTCCATTATTTGACTTTGCTTTCATAAATGATCTTTATAAACTATGGAATAATCTGACCTCTCAATTATGTTTTGGGTCTCAAAACTACTTTAATGAAACCATGTAAGAAGTTTAGAGGGAAAATTACTGTTAGGGTGCAGCTGCTAACAACTCATACTCAACTCAGATTCCTGAAATGTGACAGAAAGCATAAAAGAAGAAGCATAAAATTGAAATACATCAGCAAAGTTCATGTTCCCCAAAACTGAACTTATGCACAGTGCTTCATTAAGTGTTCCTTGTTTGTGCGAGTGTTGCTGTACCTTGTCTGTGAGAGTTGGGAAGAGGTCGACTCTGAGGAAGCTGACGACTAATCCGGGCACAACACACACCACCGTGGTGAGCAGAATCACCAACCACACGCTTTTCTCTGACAGACAGTTGCGAGCCGTGCCTGAGGAGACACAAATTTGTTTGTACTCAACTTCCCTGCAGCAATAACATTTCCTGTCATGTGTCACTCTGACTCAAACTCACCAATATACGGGAAATTATTTGGAAAAAGGCCAAATATGCCATTACTTTGCATCGTAAATAATATGGCAAAGTAAACCGCCAGACTCCCCCATATGAAGATATGATTGACTGCTGTCCAGTAGTGAGTGTCGAGTCCAATCTGGGAACAGACACATCACAAACACTATTAGAGTGTTGACTATTTTGATTTACCAAGGCTATTTTAGTCTGGTGTTTATTGTCTCACCTGAACGCTTACGACAATGACCAAGGATGTTGCTATGGTGACAGCAAACGCTTGTTGATCAGAAAAGTGTGAGCCGTCTTCCTTCACCATAAGAGAAAAGGCTCCATAGGGAATAAAAAAAAGCAGGAACGATGTGGCCATCCCCTGCAGTGTGCACAAGAAAAACTGGCGTTTGTTGAAGAGAAGGTTTTGCTGGCCCGGTTTGTAAAGGCTCGGGTAGCGAAGGCTGTTCTGGTCATTGATGTCCTTTAGGAAAGACAAACAGCATGAATGTATGTGTTATTTATTGAGAAATAGATTATATCATAGTATGGATAGGGTACTGAGAGAAAAGCTCTGTGGCCATGACAGATGGTAAACTGAAGCTAATGGATGGTGAGTATACAGGGTAGTTGTATATTTATATGGGATTAGTGGTTCTGGTTACATGTAAGTTAAATTTAATGTATTGCCTACTGTAGTGTTAGATGTTTGTGTACATTCAAGAGGTTTGTTATTATTTATTATTTATGACACGGTAAAAGAGGTCTACAACGACATATTCACCTGTTTGACTTGACAGTATCTTGAAAGGAAAAGCAAAAATAAAAGTATAAGATGCCTCAGGAGGTTGCCATTGGAAACTAGTGAAATAAATAAATGGTCCAAATTTTGAAATGAGGAGTATCTAGAAATAAGATTTAGGTCATTATCTATTTAGGTCAGTGTTTTATTAATACCACGTATTACCTGATCAAAAAGTCCCATTGCCAGCACTGGTAAGGATGTGTAGACTATGTTGAAGAGAGTGATGAACCACTGGTCGTACACAGTCTGTGGAAAGAGGACACGTAAATACATCGTTTTAATGCAAAACAAAGCAGACAGGATTCACAATATACAATTAAGAGTTTTCTCACCTGTGCTGAGAAACCACAGAAGAAGCCATACCAGAAGTGCACCAGAGTGAAGGCAAAGTTCTTGTAGAAGAAGTATCCCAGAAAATTACACATGCGGAAGTAGGACCAGCGTCCATGCACCAGCAAGAGCCTCTGCAGGTACCGAAACTGAGCGAAGGAGTAATCTGACGCCAGAACGGCCTGCATCCCCTCCTGTCCGCTGATGCCAACACCGATGTGAGCAGCTGAGTGAGAAATGCACATTGTTGGTCACTTGGAACGAAAATATTAACAATCATGGGAACATTATTGACATATTTACCATATTAAAAGGCAAAAGCTGTGATTCATGTGTCACTTTAAAACAGGTTAAGAGATTGTAAAAGTTAAGTTCACTTTGTATTCCGAAAAGTCACATAAACACACAAAAAGGTTTTCCATCTCCAACTCCTCAAATATTTGTGAGTATTCCAGAGTTACATAGTCACAAAACTGCCATGAATATAACAGTACATGTTGTCCAATATGCACTGATATGAAAACTTTCTTGTACAGAGCATAATACAGAAGAAGATGTTTTTGATAAATTTGGAAACTGTGTCATGACATAGTTTACAAAACTCTGAGAACTGCCTGCAGCACATGTAGCAGAGCATGCATCTCTCAGCATCAGTATCTCAGGTATGTTGCTAACTTGAAACTACATTGCTGGAAAGTTTAATCATCATCTTCCCTCTTGGATTAACCCTAACATACAGTATGTTCAAAAATATTAACAATTGTCAGTATTAGAATTTCTTGCACCCTAAAATTGCAGACGACCCCAAAAACCCAGTATCTGTGGAGCTCTAGTGAGCAGAAAGCCTGTGACTACAACAGCACATTCATTTCAGAGGACGAAAACAGTTCTTCTGTGTGGCTGTTGTTACCCACCAGAGCACCAACATCTTTTTTTGTTCTCATCGTGCGTTGCAGTGTTCTGACTGACTGAACATACTTCATACATAATTTCCACCAGATGTTGAGAAGAGACTTTGGAGAGTCTGTCTTACTCTTGATCATGCTGACATCGTTGGCTCCGTCTCCTATGGCCAGAGTGACGGCCCTCTTGTGCCTCTTCACCAGCTCCACCACCTGAGCTTTCTGCAGCGGAGTGACCCGGCAGCAGATGACTGTTTTGCACAAACAGGCCAAATCCAGCAGTGTGTGCTCCAGCTGTGGCTCCAGAGCATGAGCCTGCAGGGCAGACACATGCAGCACACCTGTTAAACATATTATTACCATCCCCTTCCACCGACCCCCTGCAGAGGCAACACTAAGCAACATCTCAGTGTAACATTTCCACCGAGCGGTGTGCATCATGCACGCTGCCCACGGCACAGCAAGGGAGCAGCTCCTCAGCGAGGAAATGGATGTTAATGAAACTCGTAATAGAGCGGAGGGCCCTCAGCAGCACAGCAGCTCTCTGCTCATTATACACACTGTTCAGTCAGCAGCACGTAGAGAAGGCAGACTCAGCAGACAACAACACAACCACCATTTAACAAACAGTGTAAAACCTGCAGGCATCAGGAGTAAAATTAAAACAAGCATGGGAAAAAACAAGCACAACAGAGCATCGAATTAGCATTTCATTAAAGACACTGGTGCATATTGTATGATAACATCCTTTACTGTCTTACCAGACTGTGTCCATTGATGACTAAGGCATACTCTGCAATAATAGTTTCTTCAAACACAGAATCCTCCGCAAACATCTTCTCAACATCTCGTGCACTGCTGACTCGACTCAGGCCGAGGATGTGCTCCTTAGCGCTTCTGAGGAGGGAGGAAAAACAATGAACATGCATTTTCAGTATATTTATAAAATCCAATATGACTATGATCCATTGTTGTGGTTTTAGACACATACATCGTCCACAGATGGGCCAATACACACAGCAGCAGAAATATTCTTGAATTTGCAGTCGGTGTCAGAGTGTCAACCTTTTGTATGAGCATAAGGAAAAATAAAAATGCATAATGTGTAACCTGAGCTGCTGCTGCACCTCCAGCAGTGTGTGGCCGGAGATAACAAACACCTCGTTCATGTCATCTCGCAGCATGTTGCAGGAGTAGCCGATGTTCATTGCTGTTTCTGAAATATCACACTGAGTTTAAAGCGATGTACAGCAGCTTACCATAGACAGCTATTAAAGCAGTAGTCTTTCTGATCAAGAGCATCACTCAGAATATTTAGTTACCCAGTTTGTCACCGGTGAGCACCCAGATCTTGATGTCGGCCAGACTCAGACAGGCGATAGTCTCTGGAACTCCTTCCTGAAGTTTGTCCTCGATTGCTGTGGCTCCTAGAAGCTTCAACCAAGTCAGCAGTGAGTCTGCAGTCACTAAATGAGATTGATTGTGTGTGTGTGTAACGGTGTAAGCTTAAGGATATCAATCTTACCTTCATGCCTTGCTCGATTTCGTCGTAGAGAACAGCCAGCTGATCCTCACGGTTCTCGATCACAGTGCTCGCAAAGAGAAGTTTCTTCATCCAAACGTCAAAATAATCTTCATCGAGATCTTTGTAGGCCAGAGCCAATGTTCGAAGCCCTTCACCTGCAAATTCCTGCAAAGTGATTGTAGAAGTGTGATGAATAATTGACGGAATGAAGCAGTTTTCATGAGAATAACAGACATATTCCAGAAACATATATTTTTTCAAATTAGTATTTAAAACAATGACAAACAACATCCCATTCAATACTAAACTAGTGTAGGGTTAGGGTTTTTAAATAGAAATGCAAACACAATCTGAGTTTATCTATCTTTAATTTATACAGTCGACACACTACCTGATGGAGGAGATGCACTCAGGTCCACCGGCTGCAGGAATCTTTAGCACTATTGTCGTACATTGTATTGCTATAGAGTTGTTTTTTTGTAACTTTGTCTGGTTTGTTGAATTTATGAGACTATAAATACAGATGCAAGGTTCACAGTGCATTCATTTTTTTTTTTGAAAAGCAGTTATACTAATAAATTAGAAAACACTCACATTGAGGTGTTCTGAGGTAGTGTACACGAGGTCTTCACTCGATGGATCCAAACGCTCAAAGATAATAGTGTCAGCACCTTTGGAGTACAGTTTGATCTGGCCCTGTGGATTTCTCACTGCAACAAAACAAAGCACAACAAGAAAACAATTACTTTTTTGATCAAATCCTATTGGCATATATACAACAAATATATGAACAACAGACTGCAAACAGAGGGATATAGATGTTAGGTTAATCATGAACTGTCACATTGTTCTAGAAAAAAGGAAAAAGACAAACATCATTCAGATTGTGCTGTTGATTTCAATGCATTTCTTTCTTCTGAAATTAATGTGTCAGCTACTTGTGAAATAGTTGGAGCATAAGTGTAGACCTAAGTTATAAGTGAAGACCTAACCAATGACACTCATTCTCTTGCGCACGTTGTTGAAGTCCAGTATGGCCAGCAGCTGGTAGGTGACAGCTCGTCCCATCTCACACAGCGTGACGGTTTCTGGGGTTCGGGCCCGGAAGACAAACCCAAAGTTTCGTGCTGCGGTGACCAGCGCTCCCTCATCAGGTGACTGGGCCTGATACACCAAATTTCCTTCATTTTAACAGAAACATCAATCAAAAAACAATTCAGTAATAATTATTTGAATTTGTGCTGCTGTAACTACTGGATCAAGTTTTACCTTCACTCTTCTCCTCTGGCATGACGGTGTGGCACAAAGCCAGCAGTCGGAAAAACTCCTGCACTGCAGGATCCTCCAGCTTGATGGCTTCAACCAGGCTGCAGTCGTAAAATTTAAACCTTCTGTCGCAGAGCGGGTTGAAGGAAAAGTCCACACAGGCTGTTTTCTGAAGGGAACATGGACTGTCAATAAAGTGATTGCTATACTCGTTTTGCTAGAGAGCGAAGCATTCCTGCTTGTTTACGTCTACTAACCTCTGTAATTTCCACCTTCTGGTCAAATTCATCATAAACGTCACCTAAAAGAAGAAAGGTAAGATAATTAATGAATTATTAAAGATAGCAGAAATATAGCTTTATCACTGTGATTGGTTATTTGTTGTACAATAGGTGTGTTTTTAGGTTCAATAGGATGTTTTGCCCTCAAATCTTGTATGTTCACTCTAATAACAGCATCTTTACATAGCTGAAATCCTTTAATTTCAGCATAAAACAAATAAACAACTAAATCCCAGTTAGTTTCATTACAGACTAACAATGCTAAAACTGTCCACTTTAACTAATACAAGTGCAATCGCTCGAGTGAGATGTTGTTCACTGGAAGTTAAAACTTGAGAGTAGGACATAAATGTGGCACATGCCGGCTCCAATTGAATTTCTCTCCTATTTGGATGATGTTAATCTAGAAGAAAGCCTGAGGGTCGAAACGTCATCCAAATAAAAGAGAAATGCACATGGACAGTGTGACACTTTTTTCCTACTCTCCAGATGGGTTTGCAGACACTCAGAAACAGCTGCTCTTTAGTACAGCCTGACATGCACTCATGGACACGAGGCCCTCAGTGTCATTATCCAGTGGATCATTGGAGGTTCCTGCTGTGTTAAACCTACTTAAGAAAACTTGGCACAATGTACATTGCGTATTTTTGGAAGTAATTTGTTTTCTTGTCCATTTCTTTACCTACTGAATAATGTTTGTGATCCAAAATTAAATGACAGGCTAATTAATTGAATTTCCCTTCTGGGATAAATAAAGTAGTTTTCATTTCATTTCATTTCATTAGCCCAGTGCTTCGACCTTTAGTGTTTTCAAAAAGCTCCATACCGTACGTCTGTCCATTAATGGAGCACTTGCTGAAGACCATGATGTTCTGGGTGAGGGTGCCCGTCTTGTCGGAGAAGATGAACTCCACCTGGCCCAGCTCCTCATTCAGGGTGGTGGTCCGAGCCTCAGCTGCAGTGTCCATCTGACTGTAGTACATCTTCCGGTCCCAGTTAATGAAGAAACTGTGACCCAGACGCAGAACCTCAACACTGAGGGAAGGATTAACTGTTCATTTTACTGTACAAGACAATTACACAGAGACTTGAAGACTTAAACGTGAAAGCCTTACTTAGAGCAGGAAATGTTGATAAAGAAATGATGACTTTACCTGACATACAGTGAGATGGGCACAACAGTGTTGAGGATGATGATGTAGGACCAGAAGGTGAGGAAGCCAGAGAAAACGGCGCTGCTCTGAAACTCATCCCACGGCAAAAACACCTCAAAGTTTCTGCCGATCCAATTCTCCCAAATAGTGTTTCCAATCGCCAAAATAACCCCCATACATATGAGGAAGGCAAAGATCTGAAATATTAAAAAAAAAAAAAAGTTGTTTGTTAAAAAAAATGTGGCAAATACAGGAACAGATCAGATCAGCTTATCTTTAATAAAAATAAGAGGACTGCCATGTTATTCAAGTATCTTCCATTTAAAGCTCCTACACACTAATGATACACACAGGCTGCTGCTCACTGCATCTGATTAGGCTGATTTTCAGAAGTGAGGTAAGTATGCAGACTGTTCTCTGTTCGTTTTGATGCACATTCTTCCTTTTCATTGGTACATGTTATTTGATGACTCCCGAACATTACCCAGAATAAGTAAAAACAACTGTAAAGGTGAGCAGGGCCTTGAAGGAACAGTTACATGCATTAGTGTAACCACAGCATTTTCAGTTTATCTATCAAAATATAGCAGGACGGCATGGAAAAGCAAAAACAACTTACCCACAAAACCAGAGTGTTCATCAGCTTGTCAATACTGGTCCTTTTAAATTTAGTCCTGCCACAGTTCTGCATCAGTTTGGTTTGCAACCCTGTTAGATGGAGGCAAAAACAACCATTTGAGCTGAGAGAACATTAACAACAAGCATTTTATAAAAGGAGGAACATAATACACACAAAGCTAATGGATGTGGAGAGTAAAAGGATCAGAACAAAAAACAAAGAAACTAATACCAGCAAAGATGACCATTCCAAAGCACCACTCAGTGTTTCTGAGAACACAGCCTCGCAGGAGCATTTTTTCATTATCCAGTGGGTATTTATTGTCTCTCCAGTATAATGTTCCTGTAAATTTATCCAGCTTGTTGTTTGGTGGCTCACAAATGACTTCTCCTGAAACACAAAGAAAAATCAGACAGAAGATTCACACGACGTCAATCCTCACTGCAAGAACAGCCAAAAAGAAAATGAATAGACGGCACATGAATCTCAGTCTGAGGCGTCTCAAGTCTACAAATCCACATCAAGCAACAAATGATTTGTCGCAGGGATGTGAAAATAAATAAACTTGGCGTCATCTCACCATCAAAGTCCATCAGTTTTGAAATAGATCCCAAATCTGAGGTGACAGTCAAAGCTTGGCGAACTTTCAGATTTGTTTCTCTGTTTGGGGAGAAAAGACAAATCTGCTTTCTGACATACAAATGTGAAAATGTAACAGCAGTCTATTTTTGTAAAACAGTCTGTTCATTTTATACCTGCAAACAAATCATCTAATGTTATATCTGAAGAGTTCATTTGCAAAAACAGATAACTCCATCTTCACAAACCTTCAGAAAACCCGCTTTTCCATCGTCTACCTGAGACTATCAATCAAACTTAAGTTATCTCTATTTTTGTCATGTCATTTCTACTGAGTCAAATCCACTCAACTTCAGTTTGATTGATATTATCACAAGCAAACAAGAAAAAAACAAGTTTCCTGAAAATCTACAAAAATGGAGTTATCTGTGTTTGCAAATGAACTCTTCATTTGTTTTGCTTTCTTTGCTTTTACTTAACATAACTAGTGCAACACTTACCCATCCAGCTCTGCCGTCTCAATATAGCACAGTCCATAAGGCTCACTGCTACAGAGAAGGAGGATGTCTGCCTGTGTGTAAATCCAATATGAATCACTTAGAGGTGAAAAAAGGCAATAAATCATCCTCTGCATCACTGAACCTGCAGCAGCACTCAGCACCCTCTGAATCTCCCCAAAGAAACCTTTATTGTTAAACGATGCAAGCTATTTTCCTTATTATATTTGAATATACAACACTGGGTTTAACATTCTCCAGTGAATACTGCACTGAAACGAAAGATTAACAACAAATCACCCAATTTACAGAATAGTCCCCAACATATAGTAGCATAATTTACTCACAGCAACAAACTGATTATTCTCTAGTTTGATTATATCGCCCACGCGAACGTTCATCCACTTCTCGTTCTGCAAACTTGGAAACAGGAAGCACAAAAGCTTATAATTACACCAGATAAATGTCACTGAACAGTGTGGGAATGCAGTTTCAGCGGAGGAAAGTGATGATGTACCTCCCCCTGATGAGAACCTGAGACTGGCGGTTGTTGACTTGCTGGTCGCTCCTATGTCGAAACTGAAATTTTTAAAAGAGGGCAACAATTTTACCCAAAAAGAAAAACGGGGTGCATTCAAAAGAGTTGTAAAATGTAAACAGTGGAACTAACATAGTCATCTGTGGCGTCCTTTACAGCTGTGATCACCAGCACCAAAACCAAAGGCACGATGGTTGTGAACCAGGACAGGGAGGATATTTCTGGAATCACCTGCAAGAAGATTCCACATTAACCATCTTATTTTCACCCAAACATGGTGAGACCAGCATTAATTAAAGCAGATTCAACCCACACACACTAGTATAGTCTCTCACCTGCAGTATCAGCAGCACTAAGAAGTAAGCGTTGGCCACCCGCTGGAACTGCTCAAACAAGTTGATGGGCAGGAAGGTGAAGATGTTGTACTTGGAGGTTTTGATGCGATTGTCCTGAAGAACCACACATTTAGAAATAGTTCTGATGAAATACTTGGGCCTACACTTGCGGGTGAAGTCAAATTAAAGCAATTCTGAGGTCAACTTACAGCATAGGAGAACTTATCGTTGTAGTCTCGTGCATTGGCTTTCACACGGCGTTCCTTTTCTACAAACAGAGAACACGCTGTCGTTATTGAAGGTCCAAACCAAACAGCATTTGCTATCAAAAGAAGTTGTAAAATCAATAAATTATGATTTATAAAATTGTCAAAAAAAGAATCAAACACACACCTTTAAAGATGCATTTTTATTAGATTTTCTTGGGACCCTACTGACAAACTAATTTGCAGCTAAACTAAGTAGCCTGTGTACCTGCTCCATCTCAAGTAAAGACTGCAGCAACAAACTGAGGGACCTTCTAGCTCCAAATAAAATTAGACTCATCTCCTCTGTGCAAAAACCACTTTGGAAAATGGCAGTGATCTCTCAGTTGAAAAGTGCATTGAGCTAAATTTAGAGAACAGTTAGCCGCACTTAAAGAAAGCTTCAATGCCCACCATTTTCCAAATGGATTATCATCACAAAAACAACTCACACCCATTTCTCAGCTATCATGTGCCATCTTAGTCGGTAACCTTGGTGCCTGCCTGGTTCCAACTTAAAGTGTCTAACAACATACAACAAAAATTAAATTGGTGAGAAAAGTGGTAATCCATCCTAAAAGTCGACCCTATCCCCACTTGTTTCTTTAAATAATTGGGGAAAAAAAGCTTTAGTCACTTTGAGAATAACGTGCAAGAAATTGTAAATCAGTTTCTGCTCAATTAAAGTTTCCCCAAAGCCTCTAAAACTGCAACAGTTAAACTCTCTATCAGAAACCTGCCCTGACGCTTGACTAGGCAATTTCAGACCAATCTCAAATACAGCATTCCTGAGCTAAGAATCGTAGAAAAGCAGACATTTATACAACTCAGTTGTGAACTGAATTCAACCAGTCTGTCAGAGAAATTCCAATCCAACCTTCGAATCAATCTGGGTAAGAAAAACCCCACTTCTTCTACTGTTGGACTCAAGTGCTGCGTTCGACACTATCGACCATCTTTTTAGTCAGCTCCACATCGACGTGAGCATCTGAGGCAGTCTGTCCTCACAGGAAGAGACTATGCTGCGTTCCTGGGTGTCATTAAACATGAAGCTTGTCTGTTGCCCTCCAGGAAACCAACTCTTGGGAACCTTTCCATGCTGCATCTGGGAAATCTCATCAGAGAGTATTAAGTTGGTTTTATACCTGTTCTGATCACAATCTGTGAACAAAAGACAACATTTTCTGGAAGTAAACAGGGACAGAAGTGAGGTGATTGTTATCAGAGCCCCATCTCTGTGCTCTGTTCTCATCTAAACAGACTGACTATGAATATGAAGCATAAATTACAAAAGCAAGCCATCATGTAAATTTTACCATTTTAGAATTACAACCTGTGTGCAACCGTTCATCTCTGAACACACAGAAAGACTTTGCATGCTTTATCTCCTGCAGCCTGAATTATTGTAATACGATGTTCTCAGCATCAATAAATCTTGAAATAAATACAGATGATTAAAAATTCAGCAGAATGTCTCCTCCATAGAAAACACATCACCTCTGTTTAAAAGGCTCTTCAAAGTCACTTCAAAGTGTTTTTACTTTTTAAATCTTGTGACAGATTAACTCTGGACTATATTTCCGCCATGCTGTTTCGGTCTGTACCTCCCAGACCTCTGAGATACTCTGAGGTTCACCCAAACGATGCTACATTTTGTGCTATAAACCCTCAACAGTGGAATCGAGGAGAACACAGTGGCTGGTTTCAAACTCAACT